TGAGGTACAGATGCGCTGAGCAGAATCCCCAGAGTGAACACCGACAATGCTGCTGGTGCCGACTGGCTGCTGGTCACAATGCATGAGGGAATCTAATGCAGCATAAACTGCTGGCACAGGTGAACTGATGAGGAGATGCGATGCATGACAGACCGGGCTTATTTCAGTCAGGGACCTTGATGGACAAGCAAATATATCTTTATAGCAGGTTTTTCAGCTGAGCCACATCAAAAATGAATCACACATAGACCTTTTCTAAGTGGGCCATCTGTTTTATTCAGCCTGCGTGATCCCACGGGAGTTGGAGGAGAAATCCATGAAGTGTCAGTCAAACACCAAAGGGTGCGTGAATGCAAATCAAAGGTCTTTATGTTTATGGGTAGCTCTCCTGAAGGAATCCCCTTGAGGATTTTTTTTGGCAAACCATACAGAATTGCATTAGAGGAGAGAGAGAGCTCTCGTGTTTGCCAGGGAGCTAAGGGAATTTTCACTCGACCAAATGAGAGAATCGATAAGTGTACAGCTGTACAAGGTCCAGGGGGAAACAATTAATAGTGGGAATACAGCCATAAAGGAGACTTTTAGATAGACGCCCTCCTGTTGAGCACTGGTTCTTGCAAAGTATGACACCCCCAACACCTATTCTGACCTTTCTGTCATTTCAACTTAAAAATACTTATCAGACTGGAACCATTTATTAAACTGCACACAAACTGACTGCAGCTAACTGGCTCCTTTTTTTCCTCAGAGCACCGTACACACAATCAAACTATTCCCACTGTATTGATTGAGTTTGCACACTAAAAAAGCAAGCCACACCACACAATTACTCACTCTGCAACACAACTAGGTTGAGCAGAATCCAGGCGCTGCTAAGATTTATAAATTAGGCTCAGGAGACCTCTATCTTCTCTGTCTTTGAGGCATGGAGAATCTGACAGTAAATTACATGCAAAGGAATGAGGGAACCAATGCAGGCTGTTTTTGGATCGGGTTCTGGATTTTAAACCCCCCTTTAACATCGGGCAATGATGTTTATTACTCACATGACATTGGCTGAGCCATCAATGAAATAACCACCACTATAAAAAGGGTTGAGATCTACTGGCAGACACATACAGCATTCACTATAGCCTATATGCTCCTGATTTTAATGATTCACTGTAATTGCTCACATGGGAAAGCTGTAGATTAGCGAGTAACCCACGTATGTATTACCATGTCAATTTCTCTCAGTGCCTCTTTTAAAATAAAGGTCATCATCAGAGCAGGCTGTAACTTTAGCGTGTTTGGAATAAATAGTAACCAACGTGCTGTAGTAATGAGATACTACAGCTCAGTATTGATTCATATCTTGGCTGTCTTTCATCACATCCAGAGGAATTTCTGTGCTCCTACTCACTGCGCCACTGTTTCTCCCTTTGCGTTTCTTATCTTAAAAAAAAGCAGTAGGTGGTATAGACACCATATGGGACTAACTGGGATGATTTTTTTGCCCTCGAGGCTATTGCCAAACAATGCACAAGCCTTTTGCGAAATGAAAGACCTGCCGCTTGAGCCTCTACTGCTGCAAGGCTGCCCTACTGTCTTATTCTTTTCATGCTTCCCATCACGCATAAGAAAATTACTGTACAAAAGGGTCCTGTATGAGGGAGCTTTTTCTCAGCATGTCCAGCCACTCACAGGAACCGAGTTCCTGCCTGAGGAAACAAGCACCATCAGTAATAAAACACGTGTGGGAGAGCTGTCGGTGACATGATATATAGTAATAAAATATGAGAAAGAATGTGTCATTTTCCACTGGGTTGAGACAGAAATACTCTATCAGTGAATAATATGCTTATAATATGCTCACGGTATACACAATAAGAATACACTGTGTCATAATGTCACATTTTCAGTGTTGAGGATGAATGTTAAAACAATGCCGCCTTTGAAAAAACTAATTAAATCACTTATTTTCTTCATTAATGCTGGGATTAACTGAACCAGAACCAAAGCATTATGTTTTTCCGGCATGCAATTGGGATATTGCTTAAGTATTTAGATATGACAAAAAGCAGTATTACAACTCATTTACATCAACTCCTTAATGCTCTTTGCTCCTTCTGTATCATGGTGTGTCTAATATTGTGACACGCAAAGATATGACTCAAGCAGCAACCCACATTATCCCTTAAACCATTGCATCTTCTCACCAACACGCAAAGGCAAACATGACAATATGTAACACAGGTTTGCCTCATTAATTGCTTTGGTATGTAAAACATATTGATTAAAGACTGTGGGCATGAAACGTTGCGACATTCGCAGGTAATGGATTGTCCATAAGCCCCGCTGCCTTGTGTGGCCCTCTCAAGGAGACAACAATGCTGCAGGATTATCGCACAGATGCTTCACACAAGTTCGATCACATTAGTATGTGAGTAAAAGAACTAAAGGTTGGTGTAATGTCAAACATCACTATGCTCATATCACATACCAATTAAACACAATTTATTTAACTAAATAATTTACCTGCTCCTCTATCTCACAAACACTTTCTCCACCAGGCCAGCTGTGTACTAATGATATCATGATTGAAGCTCTTTTCCACGAAGGGTGACAGTTTGATGAGACCTGTTAATTAGTTGACTTGGCAAGGGTTTAAATTGTTGCACTGCACTGTAAAAAAACAGATTAACCAGAGGAAAATATTTTTTTTCCCCCGGACAATGACTGATGCAGCATGAGAAAGTTTTATTCAAAGAAAGAAACAATGCATATTTGTGATTCCGTAAATATTAGTCATGTAAATCCCATTGAAATGAAAATGTAAAACCAGTGACATGACTAATCTGATGCAATAATTTATCACCATCATTTATATTACATTAAACCACTGATACAATTCTACACACTTTAATATGTTAAAAGCATTAGTGAATCTTTAATTCACGTAGTGTATAATTAATGTAATCTCCTTGTAATACATGAAAGTGTTTGCTCACAAGTTGCTTCTGACACATAAACAGAAGCGAACTGTCTTTGAAATGAACCATAAAAAGTCACACTGGAGCTGATGTGCATGTTATAATTGAATGGGAGGGGGTGCATAAATAATCATTTTACAAAGCATTAAGGGTATTTTAACTAAGTGCAGTGTGTGTGAGGAAAAAACAGAAGATGTTTGTTCATAGTCTTTGTTCATTGACAATATACCAACCCAGCAGAGGGATAATCAATCATACAGTGCAGGCTGCAGGTTTGAGCCCCATTGTCACTGTGCAGGTCCAGGCTGGAAGGGACAGTCTGCTGGGACAAATTCTTACATCTGTAACAGTAGACTGCAGATATTATGCTATAAAAGTCTGCATGGGACAGAAAGACAATAAGAGTGAGGGGCGCTGGACGTTGTGTAACCACACCAGCCTGCACCGCAGTACACAGAGTCAAAGCCTGTCCAGGAGATAGATATTGAAGTCTGAATGGGTGAAATGACTACAACACTAATCGATAGTCATCCTTTTGTGGTCATACATGAGGAATCCCCCGCTGCACTCAATGAATCTCCCCTAACAGAGCAGAAACACACACTCACGCACACACACTCCTATACACACACACTCAGTGCTCTGAATGTGAAGAAAACTAAGTATAGAGATAAAACAATTTTTAAAAAAAACACACACATACCAGCTCCGTGGTCATGTTTTGTTGAGTTGTGGCAATCATTGTAATCCCCAACAAGCTGTGCTGCTTCTGTAGCCTCAAAACCAGCCGAGCTGCTGCACTGTTGTCTTGCGGAGCTTTTTCTGCATGCTCTGCTTCTTGCAAGTTTGTCCTCACAGGGTTGGTGGTCTGTCTCTCTCTCTCTCTCTCACCCATTCGCCTATTTCCAATCTGCTTAGAATATTGATTGGCTCAGAAATTAATCATGACAGGAGGTTGGGTGCATAGCTGTACTATCATGCGACTAAAGCTGTTTCAGCATTCCTACCGACTATCAACACGGAGTAATTAATAATGAACAAAATGTTTTGTGAAAGATTAACAGCCAATTTTCATCCATTAGTTTGTTATATGTTGTGTTGAATACTTATAGACTAATTGTCAAATTCCATTCAAACATAATAATTATCATCGTGTAGTTATTCCTGTAGCCTATGTAATAATATAATGATTCATGATTCCTTCAGGAGCAATGCTGAAGTGCCTTAATTTTTCTTAAGTCTTAAAGTTTTTCTTGTTTTCTTTTCTCATATTTTAATTGTTGTAGAAATGTAATTTATTTTCCTATTATTTTATAATATGGAATATACGGCACTTGCAACTTTTATAATGTACATTTCTCCAGAGCTTTGGTACCGGTACTCTGTATTGAATGAACTGAATTAATATTTGCTCAATAAAGTAAAAGCAAAAACATTTTAACGCACCATCTTCATGCACATGTCAAATTATAAATATATTATACCCACAGATGAGAACTAAGTGGTGTTTAAATTATGAAAGAGCTCAGGATAACTGAGGTCAGTGTTAAGAAGTGGTCTCCTAAGGTTATGGCTGTATGGGAGGACTGACTGCACAAATACAGCAATATGGTGATAATTAAACACACTGTTCTACTGCTCCTTCAGTGCTACAGATGCAGGACTCCTTCCCTCCCAGCAGCAGCATACTGACACTGTCAGTTAAACTCATGCAGTGACCTAACAAGCAATGTGTAGTCGTTATTTTTCCACTTACATACTCCAACAATAAAACCCTTTTATTCACTGGTATGGATTTTATTTTGAAAGTTGTGACCGGAAGTCTTGTTTTTTTTTTCTTCTTTTTGATTCCTGCTTTTTTTTCCTTACTTCTTTGATAGGTAATCGATAACATTTTTAAAACTGACATTTAACATTCGTGGTTGTACTCGTTTCTGTGTGACTTAGTACCGCCGAAGCGACGATCGACCGTTACGCATGGTTTTATTATGAAAATCCGCACCTCCTTCACTCATTGGCTAGCGGCGAAATTTGAAATGTAACGCGGTCAAAGCAGCTGTGGCTGCGGAAGGATGCGGACAAAGGTACAACGAGCTCGTCGCTAAAGGCAAAATAAAAAGAAACGGGGACAAAAAGCAGTGCGCCAAACATCGCCGAAGGGATTGTTTCTGTCAATATCTTCACTATCGAAACGGTAAAGTAGCTGTTGCTAGGTAATGTTTGCTTACATGCGAGATAAAAATAAAAACATAACAAGTTAGCAGCTAAAGTGAGACCCGCCATGTTTTCTTTCAATCATACAGTTAACTGTGTGTGTAACGCATTTCCCTGGAGAGCAGATTTTATCAGACGAGGAGTGTTAAATGAGGAATATATAACGTTATTGTTGTGTTTTTAAGCTACAATTAGGGGTTAATTGATATGTTTTATGCATTGTTTTTGTTGCCAAGTTTAAGGTTAATTTCCATTTCCTCTAAACACAGCTCCACACCAATCCCAGTCTCTATAGAACCACTTGTTATCATATGAATTAAACGTAATTAGTTTGATGTACTTCTTTTCTTTAAAAAGGTCTCAGTTATAGAACAACATGGACACGGCTGTGCTGAGCCTCCAGAGCTTATATGATAAGCTGAGGACGCAAGTTGACCTTCTCAATGAGAACATTGAACCCAGTGAGTAGTTTTTATTGTTTTTATTGTTTTTGAGTTTTTATATTTACTGTCTTTCTGATTTGAGACAGCTGCCTTAGGCTCCTATACATGCCTGCCCACATTACTGCTGTAACAATGTGCATCCTGTTTCCCCAGACTTCATCCAGATGGCACAAAACTTTGATGACTGCCGCCGCAAATGGCTGAGGACCGAGCACGAGCTGGGATCTTGCAAAGAGGCCCTCACCAAGACGGAGACGGAGCGGGGATCCTTGGAGGTCAAACTGAAACACGCCCGCAACCAAGTAGATGTGGAGATCCGGCGCAGACAAAAAGCTGAGGCTGATTGCGAGAAATTGGTATGTTTGAAACCCTTGTTCGTTAATGTGTGTTGATTTCAGTTTGTTCTGTTATTTCACCCGGTTCTTCTTGTATTTCTATAACACAGGACCGTCAGATCCAGTTGATCCGGGACCTGTTGACTAGTGAGGGATCCTCAAACAGCATCCAGCTGAGTGCAGAGCAGCGTTCGGCTCTGGCCTTCCTGAACACAAACTGCCAGGCAGCAGCCAACCTGAATACCAGCCGAAGGTAATAAGCTCACACATACAGCAATATATATATTTAATATAGACATGTTTTATATTTCATTCATAGTTTTGAGTCCCTGGCAGTGCCTCTGCTACATTAGCTGTTCTGTGAGCCATATGGTACAATAGAGAGAGTACACTGATGGTTTACCTTGTGGTGGGGTTCATTTGCATGTGTGAACATCTGACACTTGAGACTTGGATGCAATACAAAATTGTATTCACACGCTTACTCTGAACTGGGGAACTCATTTTCCCCCGTCCATTCCCATCTTCCCATCTATTTATCGCATGAATGCACCATTCTGCCGCGCTTTAAAGTCACTCTGAACTTTCAAATGCATTTCCATTTAGGCATTTTAAAGGATAAAATGGCAAATAAAACAATTTGCAAAACTGTTTTGGGTGAAGGCAAATGAAAACGGATGAAATACTGTTGACTGGCTTAACACGTATCTTCTGTTGCTCCTGACAGACTGAAGACGATAGATGAGTCCGCCTCCATCTTGTCAGATATCAGCTATGATAAAACTGATGACTCTCTTGTAAGTACTTCCCTTTTCAGTGTCATGTAGAGTTAAATTAATGTTATATACAATAAAATAATCTGCTTTCCTTTGTGTGATTGATCTGTGACAGGATTGGGACTCCTCTACGGTGAGGACAGTGCGACTCAAGAAACGAGAAAAAAGGGTACGTTAAGGACACGGGCACCTTTACTCCTTTTAAACAAGTGTATTTGTAAGATGAGCTTTGTGTTCACTGGTAAAGATCTCATGTCTGCTGTCTTGATTTCAGCGCTCCTCGAGAAACCATGTCGATGGTCCCCCACTCGCCTCCAAACGTACTCGATCCACAGGCCGAACTTCAGAGATGGTAGGGTTTTTACTCATTCTCACCTTTTCACTGAAACGTGGTGTTATTACGCATGACTACGATAACTAATAACAAATTTAAACAACTAAAACATGGCAACCAAAATAAAATGATTCTGATTTGGCAACTGAAAGCTGAGTGTTTTATTTGTGACAGGGAAATGAGACCCTGGTGACGAAGACCACAGTGACTGTTCCTGCGAACGGAGGACCTGTTGAGGCGGTTTCTACCATTGAGACTGTTCCTTACTGGACTCGCAGCAGGAGAAAGACCAGTAAGATTTTCGTTATGATGCAGTATTTAACCTTGGGTGGTACTCAGCTTAACTAATCCCAGTTTAAGTGATCTTGTTCATTCTTATCCAGCTAACTTGATTCTTTCTGCTGTTTTTTTATCTGTCAAAATCAGCCGAAAATGTCATTACTCAAATCCCTAAATTATATAATTTAGTTAATCTAATCCATGCATGCTTTTATTTTGAAATAATGGCGACATGACAGATTTGAACCCATAGGCTAATGTCAGATCAAAATCAATGTACTGTCACTGTTATTCAGCCAAAGTAAAAGCAAAACACATTCGATTAAAGGAGACTGCCTATTATTTACAATAATGTTCTCATTATTTGTATGGATGTCTCTGCAGCAGTGATTTAACATTTTCTCCTAACTGGAGAATGATCGTGGATGTGTGCCAAAAGTATTTTGTTGTCTGCCTCCTGTTCAGCTACCATGGACTGGGAGTCTGAATCAGTCAAGTCTGAGGACGTCTTTAAGCATCCTGGCATCCCTGAAGGAGAAATGAAAATGCAGCCCAGCACTCCGCAGAACCACGGGGGCGTCCGTCATCATGAGTTTGTCTCCAAAACTGTAAGAACCTGTTTGTGTGATAGAATTGCAGAATGAATTAACCTGACTAGAAATACATATTTTCTATTGGATTTATGGGAAATTCTGTTCTGTAATAATACATGTATTTGAACTTATTTGTTATCATCTATCCGTTATGCAGCTAATTTACCAAAACAAAGTCTAATATCTTGTTTTAGCTGAACATATACGTAGCTGTTGACCCACAAGCCTCCTAAATCCTGTCAAATGTCTTTCTGTAGGTCATTAAGCCTGAATCGTGCGTGCCCTGTGGAAAGAGGATCAAGTTTGGAAAGATTTCACTGAAGTGCCGTGACTGCAGGGTGGTCTCGCACCCCGAGTGTCGCGAGCGTTGCCCTCTGCCATGCATCCCTAACATGGGTGGCACACCGGTCAAAATCGGGGAGGTGTGTGAATGGACTTAAACTGAGTTTATTTCCAATTTAAAATGTTACCACAGTGCTGAAAGTTTATCCCGTTTCTCATTTGTTTCCAGGGTGTGCTTGCAGACTACGTCCCAGACACATCGCCCATGATTCCTCCTCTCGTAGTCCATTGTATCAGTGAGATTGAGCAAAGGGGCCTGCATGAGGTGAGAGGTGTTTCCTGTCCTAATAATATGCAGCGATGTGAAAGACTATAAAGCCTCACACCCCAGTAGTTATCTTTTAATGTATTTCCCTTTAGCTGAGACAGAGAGCTGAAACTAAGATTTTTACAATCTGTTCCTGGGAGATTAAATTTGTAATTGGACTGTGGAAGCGCTCCAAATCAGTAGATTTCGGTATGACTGTGCTGCTGTCTTCCTTCTGTCTTTAATGTTTTTCTGCCGTCTTACTTTCTCTCTATAGGTTTTGTTTGAGGTGGTTATGAAATGTTGGCTTTTTTTCTCCGTCTGAAACAAATTAGCTTCTTCTTCTGTCACTTAGAAATTGCATCTTCATAGGCCCTAAGCCTGACAAACGTTATGTCAGCTGTTTTGCAAAGAAAATGTTCTTATTCTTCTCTTTTTTTTATATATAGTGGGAAGAAATTGTACTTAAATGAATTGTTTGACATAGAAAAAAATTTGCTTCATTTCTAAAAATTGTATAAGAAGATGGATTCCACCACCATTTCTGTGCACTAAGTACAAAACTAGAGCCAGGAGAGTGTTAGTTTGGCTTAGCATAAAGACTGGAAGCAGGGGGAACCAGATAATCTGTCCAAAATTCACCTACCAGCACCACTAAAGCTCTGTAATTAATGCATACAACAGGGTCGTAGAAACGAGAAGTTGTGGTCTTATGGGGCGATCAGTGGCTGGGCACAGATACTTTGAGTTCATTGAAGAAAAGTTAACGCTGAACATTTTGTGTTTCTCCGTTCTCAGGCTGGACTGTACCGTCTGTCCGGCGCTGATCGCACAGTGAAGGAGCTGAAGGAGAAGTTCCTCCGCAGCAAAACCGTTCCCGTGCTCAGCAAGGTGGACGATATCAACGCCATCACAGGCCTCCTCAAGGACTTCCTGAGGAACCTCAAGGAGCCTCTTCTCACCTTCCGCCTCAACCGTACTTTCATGGATGCAGCCGGTGTGTGTGTGTGTGTGTGACTGGTGTAAAAAACAATTTGTGTTGTTGGTTGCTGCTTTTGATGTGGAGGGCTCCATTTAAAAAAAAATAATAATAATAATAATGGCACACTACATAAAAGCAGTTGGTAGACATTGAAATAACTTGAAAGTTTGTGTAAGTTCTTGAACATTTAACCAACAGACGTGTTAAATGCATATTTCTACGTTGTTTTGTTCAATTTGTACTAAGCAGTGATGGAAATCTCACTTGCCCGGGGCAAAGAAAGAGATTGATCTTTCTGTTTGTTTGCCTTTTTTAGTATTTATTTGTCACTGGAGTCGGGCACATTTTCTTTCGAGTTGTTAAAAATAAATCCACACAACCTCCCATTTCTTGTTCTCTGCTAACAACATTGTTTTCTTTGTTCCCTCTCAGAGGTTTCAGACGACGACAACAGCTTAGCTCTGATGTACCAAACCATCAGTGACCTGCCACAGCCCAACAGAGACACTCTGGCCTTCTTAGTCCTTCACCTTAAGAGGTTAGCAGCTACTCTCCTCTAAAAATAATAATATATCTAATTTGAGCTATGCATATTCCAATGCAGCTGATTTAAAAACATTTCCTCTGCTCTGATGCCTTGCATATTCTTGCTACTGATTAAGTGTTGGGGTTTGCTGATATTCATAGAAGTATCTAGTCTCTCTGTAACCTTTTTTGAATTTTGCTGCATCCTCTAAATGTAATTGGGTTAAATTGCTTCAGGCAGAATATGCTAAGAATTTATTAAACACCTGAACCATATCTCATTACCTGATTTTCAGACAGGCAAAAAAATGCAGTTTATATAACCTAAGATACACTTTGAATGGTTTATATTCACATACAATAAAGAAACTTAATTTAATCTAATAAAACCTTTCAGAGTTGCTGACAGTTTGGACACTAGGATGGACATCAGTAACTTGGCTCGAGTGTTTGGTCCAACTATTGTGGGTCATGCAGTTCCCAACCCGGACCCTATGACAATCCTACAGGATACCAAAAGACAGCCTAAGGTAGGCCTGGGTCATTCATCATGTCACACTGCCACTAACAACTAACTACTACATCAAGAGTTAATTACAGAATGTAAAAGAATGCCTACTGCTGAAATATATCTATAAAAAATGGGTTTGATTTCATGACAATCTTAAGGAATATCACTTAAACATTTAGTTTGAAAGAGTCAATCGTGAGACAAAGTCTAGATAAGATTTTAATAATATTAAAAAGTTATTAAAAGATTGTTTTACACAAATTATAACTATTTTAATCAATAATCATCACACTTTTTTGTGAATCCCAATTTGATTTAAGAGACTGACTACAACATACAGAGACCACCAAACATTTATTTTCTAATTTATTATGTAATACTACCCTTTAGAACATCATAATACCATAGACTTTTTTTTTAGTAATTCCCCTCTGTCTTGCCTAAGGCATTTACATAATCAACTCAGCATGTTGGTCTAGAATGAGGCAACACGCTGAAATCACCCCAATGTCTTTGTACATTTTTATGATTTCCCTTTCCCGTTCAGGTCGTGGAGCGTCTGTTGGCTCTGCCGGTCGACTACTGGGGCCAGTTTGTGATGGCAGAAAGCGAGCAGCCAAACTTGGATCACCTGATCATCGAGAATGCAAACTGCTATGCCACCCCCGAGAGAAGTACACGCTCACTAAACTTTGTCTGTGGTTCTGCTTGTATGAGTCGGGGCACTTGTTTGCTGGCTGATGTCTCATCTCAATGTTTGTACTGTTTGCAGTGAGCATGCTGGGACCTCTGACCACTCCAGAGCACCAGCTCAATAAAACCCCCTCCTCCAGCTCCTTGTCTCAGCGCATGAAGTCCAGTCTGACACCCAGGTAAACATACGAGCACAGTCCCCTCCTGCCCTGCTTTTAACAATCAATGATTAAGTTCCTCTAGAATGACTAATAGTGTACTGCTGATTTAAATGTTCAGGAGAGAGAGAGCTATATACTATTTTTAGGGGGATTTAGATTAAAAACTGACATCTTTCATAGAAGTTAATCTACTGTAAAATATCTCATTATCCTCCATTGACTCTGCTGTATTGACTTTGACTCCTACTTCCATTAAATTTCATTATGTGCACTCTTTGTTGCAGATTTGGAAGCAAGAGCAAATCGTCAGTCGGATTTTCACGCCAAGGAAAATTCTTTGCATCTCCACTCCTCAAATAATCCAAAGCAGCTTCACTTAACCTTTTTTTTTATCCTGCAATAACAACAAATACATTTATGCATAACACATAACTTGGTACTGCTTTGATTATAGCTATAAACGCCTCCATCTTAGTCTTCTTGTAATAGTTTTAATGTTTCACAGTACTAAGAGTTGTACTTTGATGATTTTACGTGTTTGTAAAGTGATTATTTTTTTAACCAAATAGGTTTTCCTATCTATGCACACTCGTGTGTCTTTAGAGCTGATGCTTTTGCTAAATGTTTAACGAGGCATTCTCATTTCACCTCATACCATGTGAGAATGTACTGCATATTACTCTTTTTGAAGAATGTGCACATGAAAATATGTACTGTAATATGCACAGTTTTATTGTGATCCTCTTCTACATTTAATCATTTCTTTTGACAGTTTTTCAACTCATGTGTCACTCAGAAGTTGAATAACTGATTCTTTGGCATTTCATTCTAGGTTGTAATTGAATATGTGACTGCAAGTAACATTATGTTTTAGTATTGATGTTTGTTTTTTGATTGTATTTGATTGTCTCCCAGGTAGTTGTGCTGTACATGTTAGCAATCTCACAATGCCCTGCCCTTTTACTACTACAACTACAAACTGGTGCTAGACCTCAAGCCAGACCTTTCTCATTGGCAGGATCTCCGGCATGATCTACAAACGCTACTGGGTGCAATGTTTTTGGTGATTAATCTGTTGAATAGGGGGACAGTTTTTTAAGAATCTTTACTGCCGTTGTGTTTTCCAGTATATTCTGCACTGCCAGTGATCATCAGGAACATTGTTCACTGGTTTATGTGACAGGCTGTAATCTTTGTCTGATAATTTTGCCCCTCTGTTTATTGCTCTGTGTAATGTTTGTACTGTGGGAGGTTACTTATGAGCAATCCCACGCAAAAGGCAATTACTTTGTATGATTGGCCAGTTCAGTTACTGTGGCATTATTTGATTAACCATTAGCACAAATTTTGTACACAAAGACACGCTCTAAAAGTCATGTAACTTATAAAATACATTTATAACCTTTACAAAAATGTCTTGTTTTCTTATAAATACATACATATTTAATGTTGTGACCTCTGCACTACGTCCATTTATACCATATTAGCTTAAAATTGTAACTATTGATGTAGTGCACCTAGCGATTTGTCCTAAACGTCCTGGGAAGCCTTAGGTTATGTTAAAAAAGAACTGGTGTGTAGACATGTTGTTGGACCATGTTGGAAAGCAGTCCACAGCTGATGGTAGCAGGAGAGCCATCACTGACAGAAAAGAAGTGGTATTGTTTAAACATGGGGAGAACAGCATACGTACACCAGAAATAGTGTGACAAAATGAAAGCGCACCATGTAAAGTGGCTGCAAAGGGGATTTTTTTTTTGTCAGTTTTGGGGGACATTGTCAAACAGGTTCTACTGGCAGATGACTGATGGTTGTTTCAGTTTGACAAAAATGGCCTCCTTCACTCTTCTTTCAAACCACCAGTTTAAAACATTCACACCTTTAACTTGTTTGGTTAAAACCAACAACTTCTTAAATCTTTATGGCAGAGATGTCCAACCTGTAAATTTAAATAATTTAGAGACTAAGGTGAAAATAATTTCTAATAATTTACAACGCATTGGCCACTGCAGCATGAACCCAGCCCTGGTGCATGGGGTGCCACTTCTACTGGGTGGGCTACCGGGGTGTCCTGGCTTTACAGCCTTGACTACAATGCAGTTATTTAACTCTCAGTCATTAAACATCACAAGAGATCTTACACAGAAGGCTTTTATGTAAAGACTAGGAATGATAAACTGGAATTTAAATTACAGAATAACTACAAAGTGACAGATTATAGCTGCACACTCAGTTCAAAGTATTGTGCTCAGAACACTTAATGGCTTGAATGTGCAAAAATCCTTTGCGTGGAGGCAAATTATTGGTAGTTGAATCAAACATAACAAATATGTAACATCAAAATTTAGGCCATGGCCAGAGAAGAGGAGTGTTCTTGATGTAGTCCTGGAAGACGGCGTCAGATCCCCACTTCTTCATGGCCTGCTTCTCCAGGATGGGGATGCCGCTGACGTAACGTAGCAGGAACCAGACGAAGAGAGGTGACGCCACACTCAGGTACTGGGGACCCTGCATCACGGATGAGGCTGAGAGCCAGAGACCCGACCACTGCAGGATCTCTCCAAAATAGTTTGGGTGTCTGCTGTAGGCCCATAGTCCACTCTGGATGAACTTCCCCTGGAGGCACAGAAGCAAATTAGACCATACAGTTAGTGAATGAGATATTAATGCAGTTAAGGGCTGCACAACATCAGGTCTGTTGACTTACAGCATTATCTGGGTCACGCTTGAAAAGCCATTTCTGCTGGTCAGCAATAGCCTCAGCAGCAAAGCCAAGGCCCCATACAGTCCAGCCAATATAGTCCCTCGTTCCCAGAGGTACATCTCGCTTCTCACTGTTCAGCATGAGGGTGGGCAGGAGAGTCACAAATACCCACATGGCTGAAAGAAACAGGAAAATATGAATCATCTTCAACCAGCTTTTTCCTGAAACGCTCCATGAACTAAATGCATTTAACTTACCCAACAGCTCTTACCTAGAAAAAAATGCATGTGAGTGCTACAAACTAGACAGTGATTAATACAAGGCTACCCTCCCTTTAGCTGGGTGCTGAGTTGCTCAAGGACTGTGGCACTGAGAGGAAGGCATTTACATTGCTTCCAAGTACCTTGAATAGTCCAATAAACAAAGAAAGTCCCCGGGCTGTCTCTGACATTGTTGAACCTGCGATCATGACCGTCCTTCAAGATCCGCATGAAGAGGAATGTCCCCAGCCTGCAGAAAGAATATGGTTAACGTCCATTCACATTAACCCAGGCATTATTCATTAACCTGACTTCAGGTTTCACATTCATTAGTTCCTCCTCTGACCTCGCCAAGGACCCTCCATAACTAACACACGACTCTGTGGGTTTTTAATGCAAGAGGGTATAATTTTCATTGTTCTGAGTGTTTTTCAATTGTGCACTGGGTGTATAAGAATGAGGGTCAATGCTGCCTCATTTACCTGAGTCCCCACGCTGTCACCAACCCAGTCTGCACCTTCTGACGGACATGAGTGGCTCCTCCCCAGATACGACTGAGGTGGGCAAGTAGTATAAATGTGCCAGACCCTGGGGGGAAAAAAAGAGAGAGAAGCTGTAGATTTCGTAGAGGGTGGTTGGGTTGGGACATGGGCATGGCGAACGGCCCAACTTGTTGCAGAGTAAGGCGTGTTCAATAAATCTTTTACCCAGGATACTGCAGACAATTGGTTCCAAAGTTCAAGGGTAAAATTTCCTAGGAGCACAGCGAACAGTGGAGAACCAGAAGAGGACGAGTCAAAAGAGAAGTGTCAAGGTGATTCATTTGGGAAATTATAAAGAAACCAGACACTGCCGTTCACAGGTAAGCTGCAAAGTTCTACGTGTGACAAATGATTTGACCATTGTCTGTATTTAAGTTTGTCATACTTAACTTTTTAAGCTCATAACTTCCTTTGTTAAAACTCACAATCTACTTGGGTGAAAAGTGAGGATACTCTGGCTGCAGCTAAAGCTAATGCTAATGATTATTTTTCATTATTGGTTAATCTGCCAATCTGCTAACTGAATGGTGAAAATGTTTCCTAAAGCCCGGGCTGACACCTCACAATTGCCTATTTTGTCCGACTAACTAAAAGATATTCAGTTTGCTATCACCTACGGCAAAAAACAAAAAAAAATCCTCACAGTTAAGACGCTGGAACTAGGGACTATTAGGGACATTATTGCTCAAAAAGTGACAAACTTTATCAAACTTTATCAGTTTAAATCAGTCTCAAGAGTTTCGGCTAATCGACTAATTGCTTCACCTCTCATAGACACAAATTAATTCAGTATTCGGTATTTGCTTAATATTACTAAAACAGGATTACCAACTTTCACCTACTGTTATAAATGTTCAGGCAGTTTGTTTATTAATGCAAAAGTGAGACCAGGAAGCACAAATCACTAGTGGAGAGACCAGCTGTGCTGATTCTTACTTTGGGGCCCACAAAAATCCCCCTTTCTGGTTCAAAAAGAGGGACCCAAGAATCCTCTGTACGCCCCTGCTGAAGCTGATTGGATATGTTTCTGCTTCCTAATCTGAAGGAGGAGCCTTCTGCCTGTTTCACAACAAAGCTGCTTTAGATAACAGGTTTTATAATCATGACAGTTCAACATCCTAATGCATTGCAGTAATAATGAAATTAAATAGGAAGTGCACAGATGAATTGTGAATAAGTGACCTACCTATAGGTTTATATATGATTCGCTACACTTTTCACTAATACATTGATCTGAATAACAAGTCAGGCTGCACATGGTCGCAGATCAACACACAAGAAGAGCCACTTTTCCACATTACCTGCCAAATCATAAAACTTCTCGGTTTTGAAAGCTGCAGCCAGAGCCCAGCCGGCCCACTGGATGCCGAGGTCGGTGGCGGCACATTTGAACAGAGTGCTCCCCATGATCGCGTCCTGCAGGTCGGCGAGCAGCGCAGGAAACTGGTAGTTTGTCATAGGGCCACTCCTCCGACAGCCAAAGAAATATCAACACCGTGGTTAAAGTTCACCGCTGCCATTCTACTGCTGGGAGTGGCTTGACCGCAGGGAACTCTGGGTATTGTAGTTTATTAGAGGCTCAGAGCCAGAGTAAGTGTGGTTCCCAAGCTGAGGTGCTGGGTACCTTCATGGATCACTGAGCTTTTATTGATTTGAAATTCAGGTGTTGCAGCAACAATATATAATGATAAGTATATAAAACTGTTTGTATTATTGTATGTAATATAGAAATATGTTGTAGTGCATTATGTAATAACATAATATAGTATAGAATACAATGTAATACATATATGTGTTTTTGTATTTATTATATTTAACTGTTATAGTTGGTCAAAGTGGCGCTAATTTGAAAGATTTTACACAATGTAGTATATGTAGTATAATCTGTAACCATGTATTTTATTTTATGAGATTAATATGTGTTTTACGTGTAAAAACTTAATTTGACACTGACTATAACTGTACACAAATTTAGTGGAGTTAAAAGTATAATATTTATATTATATTAATCTGAATTGTAGAAGTGAAGTAGAAGCAAAAAGAACATTAAATTTGTACGTCATACAGTACGAGATTAAACTACCCAACAGTATAGATGGTAGTCAAATATAGCTTCACCTCTACCCCATTTATGCAATTATTTAAAATAAAGTAATATAAAATATATAATACAACTCTGAAAAGGGCCATTCAACTGCATAATGAGTACATTTACTTTTAGTCCACTTTTCCTATATTATTACCAACTCTGAATGTCGGACTTTTAGTTGTATAAGTACTTTTTCCATCACTGCTTCCAAAGGCCCAAAAAAAAAGAGGACGTCTCTCACTACTTTGCTCACTGAGGCGAATACAGAGAGTTTATTTGAATGTGCTTCACTTTCCCCATTTTTGCTACTTCATCTAACATTTTTTTCATTTAAATATTCTCTATATATGAAAAAGCCATAAGAGTCACATGTTACAGTAGCACAGAGAAGAGGTAATAAACAAGAGTATGTGCAGCAAACTAAATAAATACAAATAAAGTGAGAATTTTAGGAAAGTAGAGAGATGACTCTATATATATATATATATATATATATATGTATATATATATATTTATACAGTACCTAGACTATATTAAATAATGTGAATGCAAATATCTGTGTAAAGGAAATCCAAAAATTTTATAATAATTTAAATAAAATTTTAAGTATATATCCTGTGCAGTATAAGTAACATACACAATAATAAAATACAATACAAATACAATTTTATGAAATATATTTGATATACATAGAAAAGAAAATCATCATTTAGCATATCATTTAAAAGTACAATGACAAATAATATTAGTAATATAGCTTTGTTATGTAGCGATATGAGTAATATAAATATGTGGATATATTACTACTTGTACTACTACCCCATACTAATAATAATACTATATAATGGAGGACCAGGTGCAGGTGTGTTGTTGTAAAGCACTTGTTTCAATGTGCGACATTAAGGCCAAATAGTCCATAAACCAAAGGTCTTGAGGTATTGTTGTAATATTTTCTTTCTTCTCTGTTTCCCCTTAATCATCAGGAATAAACACCATCAAGACAAAATATGGCCGAGAGTCCAAAAGGCAGCTCTGGTGACTTTGCTAAAAAAGTCCAAAGACAGCTGAGCAGAAGCAAAGAAAAGGTAATAGTCTGCAAGTTTTTGTTTCCCAAATAACAAGAGAAATAACTTATTGCCATTTAGCTGCTGTTGCTTTGAGCTATGGGCTTTTTTTTCTGCAGGTACTGCAAAGGCTGGGAAAGACCGTGGAGAGCAAAGATGAGGAATTCGAACATTCTCTCCAGCAGTTTAATGACCAGCAGGTAATAACCCCTCTATTTAATGAGGAAATAATAATTATGGAGTTGCTTTATTTTGGGCAGTAAAATGGATTTAAATATTTGAACTGCTCAAACGTTCAAAAGAAATAAATTCCCCACTGCTGTCTTAACATGTTTCACTGTGTATGTAGACACTGATGATTTATTGACTATACTCAGTGAATCAAACATCTTAAATGTAATAAATCTAAACGCTGACAATCATACACACCTCTTATTTGCAGACTGATGGGAACCGAATGTACAAGGACTTGAGGAACTACATTAATGCAGTTAGAGGTGAGTGTGTTTTTTACTTGTAGATGCTGCAGAGCTTTAAATTTATGTCTGCAGGTCTTATATAGACAAAAATGTTTTTTTGTTTTTTTTACAGATATGCGTGAGGCTTCAAGACGCCTTTCCCAGTCTCTGTTTGAGTCATATGAAACTGACTGGGCTGGGGAGGAAGATTTAGGAGCCATTGTAGAGGTCAGTAGTGATAAAAACCCAGAGCAGCTACAGCTCTGCACATTTTTGTTGTATACAAAAGCAGCAAGATTCACACATCGCCAGGGGAACCAAACCCCTTTTTTTCTCCCGCTCTTTATACATAATTAATCCAATATTTATGCTGCGCCTTTTAATAAAGGGGGAGGACCTCCTGTGGAATGACTACGAGGTGAAGCTATCAGACCAGGCCATATGCACCATGGAGTCCTATGTGAGCCAATTCCCAGATGTCAGGGTAAGACAAGAGGAAGCAAGTATGCAAGCAAACAAAAGTGAATACACAGACAGATAAAAGGCCTGAGAGCAAACACACAAAAACCAACAAAGGCACAGAAATAGTTCACACACGCACTCATGCATAATTTATCTGGACCCTTTTTTTCAATCTGCAGGAGAAAATAGCCAAAAGGGGAAGAAAACTGGTGGACTACGACTCTGCCCGTCACCACCTGGAGGCACTGCAGACTGCAAAGAAGAAGGATGATGTCAAGATAAACAAGGTGATCAATAATGACATATATATCTCTCTCTTGTTTTCCTTGCACTCCTATTTCAACCTTCCCTTGCTCTGAAATATACTTTAACATTAATTCAATGTTTTACTCTGTAGGCAGAAGAGGAGATGAATGCTGCCAAAAGTGTCTATGAGAGAATCAACAATGACTTAAAAGAAGAGCTGCCTGCACTCTATGAAAGGTCTGATAGATTATTTTCTATTATCAAATGATATATTGAAGGTGTTCACATTTCACATTATGTTGTGATATTTTCCCTTTTTAGCCGTATTGGATGCTACGTCTCAGTCTTCTCAGCTCTATCAAATTTAAGAGACATCTTCCATAAGGAAATGAGCACGGTATGTTTGGCTCTGTGTTGGCTGAGCATTTGAAGTAAGTTACCACACAATTGTTATAAAATTATAATTTTTTGACCAGTCCTTTCCTTTTTCAGCTCAATCTTGATCTGCAGAATGTGATAAAGGAGCTGCAGGCTCAGCATCCGGACAAAGTGTTTGCTGTAAAGGGACTGCAACGGTAAGAGTTGTTTTTTAAGCTTTACATTTTAAAGACATTATGTTTAGTTCGATACAAAATGATATTATCTACTCATGAGTTCAAGTTCTCACAAAACACTGTAGGCAATATTCCACATGTTTTGTGGCCAAACAGTTGCAAATTATGGCCTAAAGCTACAATATTTACTATATTATTTGTTATATTTTCCTCACTGACAATGCTGTACATCCAAGAATCTGACAGATGGCTTTCCAGTGAACATTTGGGCTGGATTATTTTAATAAATTGATGTCGATGTTTGGGAATATAAGCAGAATCTTCAAACAATTTCCTTGCTTTTTTGTCTGATATTACTCATATCATAATGTTTCAGGTACGGCTCCCTGAAGAGACGATCTCTGATATCCCCTAAGGCCTGGAAAGCCAGCTTTTCTGAGTTTCACAGGAGCTATAGTCCCAGACCTGGCCAGAGGTTTAGTTTCAGGTCCCCGGACAAATCTCGCCAGGGTACTCTGTCCAGAGAGAGCAGCACCCTTACGGTCTCCCCGCAATCGCCTCTTTCGGAGAGCCCCACCTCTGAGTCCAGGGACCTGGATGCAGAACCGAGCCACAGTGAGATCTCATCTGCAGAAGAAGACACTGCAGCAGGGACGGCTAGAAATGAGTTGGGAGAAGATGGCAATCAGGTGGAAGAGGAGGACAAGAAGGAAGAGGAATCTGAGCCTAAGCCACCTGCAGAGTCTGAGAATAAGGGAGACGGTGAGAAAGCTCCACCAAGTGAGAGCAGCTCTGAACTGAACAACTCCTGTGATTCAGAGAGCTTGGATATCCAGCTGGCAGCAGCAGCTGACGGCCCGCTGCACATTGAAGAAAGAGAAGACAGCCCGGTAGCCTTCAACCCTCCTAAACCAAACGGACTGGAGAATGGTGAAGTTTCTAAGGACCTGAGCGTTCCTCACAAGGTTTGTCGTTTGATTAGCACACAGCTGAGGAACAGTGATGCAAACCTTCTCTATGCGTTGTTTTCTGTCAAGACTCTCCTGTTTCACACACTTTTCTGTCCCATTTAGGATGCTCCTGCAGAGAAACAGGCAACTCCGGACTCAAAAAGCACAACGGTTTAATGTATTCAAACTTTAACAGAAGGTTTGTATGTTTTTCATGCACATAACCCGTCACATATCAATCTTCTTGCTCCCTTCTACCTTGTTTCTGACTGAGCTTTTCATAAATCTGTGTCTGCTCTGTGTTCCTTTAACAGAGAAGCACATAAGAGATTGAAGTCAACAGCTGCACAAGAGGGAAAAAATGTGGAGACAGCCGCACTGAAGTGTCCAACTGTGGTGTCATGAATGATGCGCTGTGCATTGACGCGTTAGTGCTAGTATTCTTATTTATCTTTTATTGAAATCAGCTGTGAATAGACTACACAGTATGGGTAAATCTTAATCTGTAATATTTTTTTAACAGCAATGCTTTATCTTAATTATCCTCTCAAAAAAGTATAGATACATGTGTACAGCAGGGTGAGTTTGTCATTTTTGGAGCAAATGTTGTCCTACAGATTCCATTATATTCTGCATCAGACAGGTTATAACCAGATAAGTTATCTCATGTGTGTAATGTCAGCAAACACACATGCACTTATAGGTTTACAAAACTGTCCTGCAGTATAGATCAACGTATGCAGACATACTGTACTGTGGTCTCAGTTTAGAAAGGAACTGAGATCAACTCCACTCTCATGTAACCACATAACCTAAAGACTGAACGTAAATAGAAGTCAATGATTTTCTTTTCTTCTATTTCTATCTATTTTATTTCTAAACCAGTTTTGTTGGCAGGGATTCATTTTTTGAATCTTTTAATCTGTTGCACTCGCACAAAGATGTGATCTGTTAATTAGTTGTGCACAGAACAGATAAATCACTGTGTAATTCTGAAAATTTTTTGTTTCACATTTATACTCATTTGTTTGATTTTAATTATTTACAACACACACACCCTCAAGGGTACAGCTAATAGATGGACGTCTGTATAAAATAAATGATGGAATTTAAAACTGAATTGAATTTAATATTGTGTCAAAAGCTGTGGATGCTTCTCTGCCAATGGAGATTTAACATGATAGTGACAAAAACAGCGATCTCTCACTCAGCCCACATTTCTCAGCTCACTTCATTATGAACACAACATAACACAAGAAAGCTATAGAGATATGTCTTTCTGCTTTAATGGTTATTAATTTAAAGCATTTAAAAAGTTTATTTGTACCAAATTCCCCCTAAAAAATGAAAACATTGAATTAAAACAATGAATTCTAGAGCTAAAACGGCTAAGAGATGATAATAACAATATTTGTATAGCACTTTTCAGTTACAATGTGTTTTACAGAACAAGATGTCTTTACTAGATTAGTTTGATGATATAAAATGTGTTTTCACTTACACTTACATTCATTACGAGAGGAAGACATCAGATGTGTGCTTCCTGAAATTTGTCGAGGTCTATTGTCCCCACTGGCTCTCACTTCTTGAATTGTAACAACGAGGATCTCTGTTATGGCGGCCAGAATCAGGACACAGAAACCACTTGCTGATCTTTCTGATTTTATAGGTGACGGTGATAAACCTGCTTCTCTGTGAAATACGAACTCAAATGTGGCACCAAGTGTGTGACAAAGGTGACGATCGAGGGGAAACACAGACGTTTTCAAAGACAGCATTCAAGCAGGATGAAGCAAATTTAAATGTTTGAACCCTTTCAAATCTTTTCAGTGTGTGGATGATTATTTCCCTCTGATGATCTCTGCAGCTGTCACACTGTCAGCTTGAGAAACAACATTGTGTGTGGAACAGAAAGTGGGTGGACTTTTTTTGGAAATATTTGTTGATTACACAAACAGAAAAGAAGGAGAGCTAGTTTGTGTTTATGCCCGGGCATTATCTAGTAGGCTAATAAGACGTTAAATTAAATTCATGGATAGTTGATTTGTTACAAAACCAAGAAGCCTTCTGCAGGCTTCCTCCAGGATAACAGAAGTATTGACTTGTTGGCTGAATCCAAATAGAAAAGGTGGTGCTAACACTTTAAAGGTTTACCAGCTGTAATTTGACAACAACATATCTTATGTCATGCAGGCACAGCCAAATAAGGGGGTGGCACCAAGTGGCCTTATGGAAAATATGTTTGACCCAAATTTAAAAGTCAGTATATCTCAGCCTCTCAGCCACAGATTTTGATCCTTCATTTTTACTCACTGCCAAAGTCCTTCAACTTTATGTACGCGTAATACTAAATCGCTGAGCTACAGGTAACCTTTAGCATTCAGACAATATTTCATACAAGAAAAAGAAAAATGTGCTTATCAAGATGTTTACTTTTCGTCGCCTCCACAAAATCCGGTTGAGCCAAAATGATGAAGCTGAATTAATCATCAACTATTTTGATAACTGACTTCTTAAAATCCATAATGCTTAAATTTAACATTCTCACATGTGAATATTTGCTGGACTTATCACTCTTCTATGATATTAAAGTGAAGATCTTTGAGGTTTTGGACTGTTGGTTGGATAAAACAAGTAGTTTTGGCTTTGGAAGCTTAGTTATTGATTTTAGATGTGTGAATAATTGAGAAAATAATAGCCAAATGAATTGGTAGCTAATGAAAGTAGTTATTTTGTATCCTTACTGTAACGAATCATTATCAAATGCATAAATCTGCCCTTTAACGAACCATAACAAGACTCCTCGTCGACTGAACTGGACTGGCTCAGAGAGGTCACCCACAATATGTGGCTCCACAGTTCACTTTTAGGGAATTCGGAAACCATTTATAGAATATATTTAAGATAAGCTTTAGCTGCCACGCCCTCCTAAATGTAACTCCAAATGTAGTAATTAATAGTTAATTATTATCTTGTATCTATCTCTGCCTTTGTACCTTTGTAGCCCATCACAATGAGGTAGCCTTTACTTTGTGCAACTGCCTGTTTGTTAACATGTTTGTGTGTATAAACTGCATCACAGACACATGGTTCAAATGTAACAACGCTAAAGGGAACACTCTTTCACTGCTGATGGGGATGTAATGTGGTCAGAAGACATGATCAGCCAGATAACAAAACTGACAATCCCTTGTCTGTCTAAGTTATATATTCTGGGTATTTATCCAAGCGACGTTATTGCTAAGAAGGATGACTGTGCATTAATAGATTTGTGTCTTTTACAAGCTAAAAGAGCAATAGCACATTCATTTATTAATATGCAATGGCTCTTATATTTAAAAACAGCAATAAAAACATTGTATATAAAAATATTGTGTATGTTTTTCTTTTTCTTAGTTGTATTTAGTCATTAAACTGATGCTAATAATGTGCAATAAGTCGATTAAAAGGGCAATACCCGGGTCAATGTGCAATACGCTTTATTATTATGTTATTCTTGAAATTTTTCAATCATTCCTTGTAATGATCTATAACTAATCTTAAACTCATTACTATTTAATTTCTGTCAACACATACTGCGGAATATGTTTACATTTACTTTGTATATAGGCTCTTATTATCTTAATATATCTCTTTTGCTCTTACTATATTTCTATTTCCATTTTTATTTTTACTTTTACTGTATGTATATACCTATACATACATTTCTATTCTGTATATCGTGTTAGATATTGTAGATATAAGTATTATTTCTAGTCTTTAACATGTGTGAGTAGAACATTTAATGTATTGTTGTGCAGCTGTTCTGTATGTTCCTAAAAAAGCCAATAAAAAATATGTAATAAAAAACATAAAATAAACAAACAAAGTGGGGGAAAGTGAGGCACAGAGCACCTTTCAACTCAGGTTTCTTTGTTTACTCTACATTGTTCTGCACTTTAAGTTATATGTGCTATTTTAATTTGTATATTTGAACTCGGGCAAAGTAAGATTTTCATTGCACGTATAAACCACTGTGTTTCTTACTGTGCATATGCCAATAAACCTCTTTGAAACCAGACTCCTCTTAACCTAACAGAGGAGTGATGCATCTCGCTCACAGAAGATCTTTGCCAGAGAAGCAGGACGGAGGAAAGGGAGGGGCGGAAATCGAGAGCGTGTGCCGCATGACTCACTGAGTGCTGGGAGAAAAAAAAGTATATGCACTTACTGTATTTCACAGACGCAGTTTAGACGCCTCAACAGCTTCAGTTTCAAAACTCAAAGTCAGCAGCGTGCGCTCGTTTTGCTCGCTTTTTAGAAGAAGAAAAAAAAAAGAGTTGAAAAGTTGACCACCGCCGCCGACAGTTCGGGGTTAGTGTCACTCCGCTGCGCCCAGGTAAGCTCACACAAACAGCTGTGATGAACAATGTCTGATTGTTTGAAGAGAACCGTGAGTTACTTTACCTGCGACCCACTCCGGGGGGGTTATTGTTAAGTTAAGACCTGAATGGTGGTGAAGCAGTTTTTAGTTTTGCCCTGAGAAGAGTGAGTGAGAGGGACAAAGAAAGTCAGCTGTGGTTGATGAAGTAACAATGGGAAAGAAGGAGAGAAAAAAAAAAAGAAGGTGTCGACCGGTTGAATAAATCGTGTCGAGCTCCAGTGTGGTTAGAAACAGTGACTGCGGAAACGTCAGTGAGATGTGTGGTTGTTTATTGTTTGTTTTTTGTGTGTGTTTACAGGTATATATTAACCAGTGAGTTTACCAGAAATAACCATGAATAGTAAGTCTTCTTTAGAGCTTTTCATTATGTCTTTCTGCCACACATTTGATTCTTGTTTTAAATAAGTATGTTCCTTTTATCCTGCAGCGAATATTTGATTAATCCATTTCCAATCCAATTTGCTACTGTTTTTGAATTTTTCAAGCCAAAAACTACAAACTTGTGATGGTTCCAGGTTCCTCAGATGTGAGAATTTGTCCTAAATTGTAGTCAACTGACTGACTTTGGGGTTTTGAACTGTTTTATTGTACTTTACATACAAAATAGTTTTATAAAATATGATGTGTAGTCACAGATTAACCCACCCAAGAGTGCAAAGTAGTTCAAACTAGCTCCACCTCCACCAGATACAGCAATATATGCATCAGTACCAATAACCCCATAATGTAATATAACTCTGGGGGCCGTTCTGCTGCCTCGTGTGTAAACTAAAACATTATTGTGCTGTAGATGAGACCTTTCCTGTTTTTCATGACTTTCGCAGCCCCCATAGTGATGTTCAGTTAGTCGCAATCTGAAACTTCACCGCTAGATGCCACTAAATACTCCACACTGGTTCTTTTTTAATCATTTCGTCAAAAAAACACACCAGAAAACGGTGACAAATGCCTATTAAAAGTGTCCTAGATGTCTTGTTTAGTGGGAATAAGATAATATAACCAACATATTGGATTTACAGTGTATTTATAGTAGTGTAAACAAGAAAAGCAGGAAAATCTCTTATTTGAGAACCTTAAATCAAAGAATGTTTGGCATTTTAGCTTAAAAAACGACTCAGTAGTAAAATTTTCTGTCGATTGATCAATCAACCAATCATTGCTGCTCTATTGCTGATACCATTGTAAAAGCAGAACCTTTTCCCTGTAATGGCTGTAGTGTTTCATAGTGTGGTATTCCTACTTTTACTCCATTAAAAGATCTCCATATTTCTTCCACCGCTGGTCTGTTTTCTGATTAAGTTCATTGCATCACCGAGGAAATAAGAGGCGTACAGGTTTCAATCCCAGCCCTTAATAATCAGATTACTGTGTCACAACACTTAATATTCCCTCCTCAGCCAGCAGCTATGCAGTTACACAAGTCTCTTCTAGCAGACTGCGTGCTGAAGATAGAGCCCCTGTGACATTTTTAACATGTTTTTTTTATCTTCCAGAATCAGACATGGTGCCTTCGACAACGCTTTCCTCGTATACAAACGCAACAGCTGTGACAGAGGGTGAGGACATTGTTTGTTTTTTGTATTTTTAGCTCCGTTATTAATGTATTCACTCTGAGTCGCAGCCAACAAGAATCCTGATATCGTAACCCTTTTTGTACTTTGTGCTGTTTTATCCCAACATGTCATGCTTGTGTTTTTGTGTGTGTTCAGCATCAGATATGGGACTTTTAACATCACTTCCCACACAAGCAGACACCACCATGATTCAGGGTAACTCCTACACTTTATGTTCTTTATTTTTTTAATTTTTTCTATTACTGGCACACAAACCGGTCTCCTCCTGGACCCACACATTTGTGAGACATAACAGTTTACTTCCTGTCAGATGCTTTACAGTAGAACAATCTCATGACCTTTCTACTTCGTCTGTTACCTGACACCAGTGGTTTAAAAACCAATTTACATGTTTTATCCCCCCCCCCCTTCAGTGGTAACAACAGCAGCCCCCACAGGTCCAGACTCGGCAGTTATTGCAGGTAACTGTTCGCACTTTATCCTGAACTTTTTCTCCTTAACGTTGCGAGGTCATAATGTTTTAAAAACTGCATTTTAAAAAGATGTTTTGCGTTGTTTTTTTTTTCCTCCAGTGGTTATTGTTCTTATCCTGCTGACGATAGCTGCCTTGGGCATCCTGCTTTACCGGTATCTCTGCCACAACAAAGGAGACTACAGGACGACGGGGGAGCTGGCTCCGGGAGAGGACCCCGATGAAGAGTACAGTAACCAGGCTATGAGCGAAAAGAAGGAATACTTCATATGAACCTGGTGAAGCCCAGGGAGTTAACAGGGCTTAAGAAAGAGAAAAAAAAAGGGTGTGTGAAGGACTAGGACTGTTTTTTTGGGGGGGTTTTGTATCTGTTTTGAGGGAAGGCTGCTACTTGCTGCACACGGGGGGGGGGGGGGAAAAA